AAAAAAAAAACCCAACACTATTCACTAGGTTTGCTCTAAGGAGACTCCTTGTTTTAGGTCAGAAATGCACAAACTAGTCTAATGGGCAAGAAGAACAACTCAAAAGAACACGCTACATCCACCTCGCCTTCCTGACCTACCACTGCTGGAAAGCCTGTGTGTCCTCAGTGGGTCAGCCACCTCCTAAGAGCCCACAGTACTTTCAGCTTAAGGCAGTCTACAGTGGTTTCACGAGTGGTTTTAAGCATTCCAGGAAAACTGGGGGGTTTGAATTCATAATCCCAACTTCCACAGTTAAACTACAACACCACCATGCAGAGGAATGCTTTGAAATGTTTACCTTTTCACTGAGAATACTCCAGTTCATACTTACCTCAGCTGACTCCGCGGGATCTTCGCGCTCTTGTTTTGCGTTCTTTATCTCTTTGGAAGGAGTCAGGATCTTCAAGCTTGCCGGCAAGACTATGTTATCTGTTCCCAGAGCTTTCGCAGCATTAGCTTTTGCAATTTCCAGCAGTTCCCTCTTGTCTGCAAGAGGAAAATAAAGTACCATTCTTTTATGTTTAAATCAACACGTACCTATTCACACCAGCCTAAAGCCACAGACTTTCTTCCACATCACCATTATCAACTACACAGATGACAATTTGACTGGTTTAAATTTAATGTAAATTGTACGTTGAGGCTCTCGCAATCAAAGTATCAAAAAAAGTACCTTTTTCACTCAAGTGGAGAGGTGACCTGCTCCGAGATCTTGTTCGTGACCTGCTCCTCCAGCTCCTGTAAGCCTCAGGATATACTGTTCGCCCGAATCCGTAGTATCTTCGGCCTCTTGAACGGGATCTGCTTCTCGAATAGGACCTTCTGTAGTACGATCTTCCACGAGACCACGACCTACTGCGCGATCTGTACCGCGGAGGAGAGCGGTGGTACCTCCTGTAGTGCCTGGCATGGTACCTGCCTCGGTACCTCATGTACCCGCGTGATCTCGACCGGCTTCTGGAATACGAACGAGAGTACCTTCTGTACCTTCGGGAACCATTTCTTCTAGCCCGTGACCTTGATCTGGACCGGCTCCAGCTCCTGGAGGAAGCTGAAGAGGAACTACTTGAACTGGACTGTGAGCTGCAAGAGGATCTGCTAGACGACCTTGCTGATGACCTATCACAACTCCTCTTGGATCTCAAAGACGACTCTCTCTTCTTCGGTGAGCTGAGGGTTAAGTCATCCATGAAGTCTGTCATATCATCAGTTTTCCGACCCACCGTTTTCTCCAGGCAGGTACTTTCAGAAGCTGGTTCCGTTTTGATTGTTGTTTTGTAATACCCAGTCTCTGTTCCTGTTGTGGCGGGG